GTCGGTATGGCGAAACGGAGCTGTTTGCAGCTGCGATTGCGCAAACCACGAGTACAAGGCGAACAAACCTAATAAAGGTTACTTTCATTACGCAAAGTACTACAAAAGCTCAAAGGGAATTTCCGTTGCATAAACCGTCCGCTCTGGCTTCCGATAGCTGCAAGCTTAAAACGCAAGTACTGGCGCATAAAATACTTACAAAGTGGACGACGATCGAAGCCGATCGCTGAGACGTGCTTTCGAATATGCGTATTTCAACAATGTATATAGCATACATAGTATGTATGTACGAGTATGTGGGGTCGACACCTTTACTACACACTTTGCGTGAAATTGGTAAGAACTTAACACCTGCACCAATTCTTGTCTGATTGGGTTTCAACAACGGCTGGTTTTATGCGAGCTACGCCGAGCAATTATTTGAAAGCGCTTACTTCCTTATACATATATATTATTAATACATATACATAGATGTAGATTTAGTATGAAAGTAGGTGCCTACATGCAAAATAATTCATTTTACTACGACTACATATGTACAAATAAATTTCACATACGAGTATGCATTTGAGCTGCTAGCTTGAAAATGAAAGTTGCTCGTGACTTGTTAATGTTGGCATTGTAATTGCGAACAAATACGTGCATGCATTTAAAATTCGTTTTTGTATAATTAATACTGAAGGGGTTCGGTCTTTTTACCTAGACAGAACACACAGAAACGTTTCCTACGAAGAATATTTAGTCGTATATGTATATATTATATATTAGTCGCATATGTATCTTTATCAAATATATTTTCATATTTATTATGAAAAAACAAGGAATTAAAGAGTTAACACAAACTTCAAACCGTAACCAAATAGTCACATACTATTCATAGTATGTATGCACATACATATCTATGTATTTTTACTGTTGCTTAGATACGAGTATCTGGCACAGAGTCGCTGCTGTTTTGTTATAGACGACACTAGAGCACACGACACCGAAAACCAAGGCTTGTAAAATCCACTCATAAGTAAACATTAAACTAACTGTTGGCCACCTTATTAATTTTTCCCTGCGGCATGTCTGGCGATGGTTTAATAATAAAAAGAAACAATTAAGTCATGTGAAGATTATTAACAGTTATCATAGCAGCAATTTGTTATAGGGTAAAAATCCATAGAGACGTAGATATATGTACCTCCATATAAACAACAAACGCTCACTTATTCAATATGTTGAAGCCATTTGAGCGTGGTGTATGCAATTAATTTGTTTTCCATAAGCTCGTTGATTGGCATAACTTATATAAGTCCATTGCCAGGCGTTGCGTTGAGTGGACAACGAGGCCGGACTGACCGAAAAACGGACAGACAGATAGAGACAAACACTCGGCTTGGGTTGTTACGCTCGAATTTCATTTGGTTACACATTTGTACTCGTATGTGTGTACAAGCATTCCATTCGAAATGGGTAAATATGTAGTGCAAGCAATATTTGCATTACAACATGCTTCTATGACAAGCAATTAATCATTCACATCAATCGAAATATTAACTAGAAATGAGCATATGAGCACGGAACCCGTGATCGATACACATACTATACTTATGGGCTTGTACATTGAAAAACTTCCGATACTCTCTAAAAACACTTAAACTTCCAGAGATCTATCACGTCTCCGGCCAGGAGTTTCCAAGACTCATCGGTCTATCCGCCCGTCCAGTAAATTTATTTTAAGAGTTATTTTGGAATGTCCTGTGTTGGGATCGAAGTATTAGCACATTAGTATATTAATGCTCTTTATTATGTTCGGCGAAAATAAAGAACATAATAGTTTTCGATTTTTGAATGAACTTGGACTGGCCGTTGCTGGCCGTGGCTGGCAAGGGAAAACTATGCAGGTCTTTTTGCAAAACAATAGAGTATTGCTGAAAATGATCGCCCGTCGCCAAGACAAGAGGTGATCGTTTTAACACCATTTTATTTTCTCGATAAATTAAAGAATGTTTTGAATGGATATTTTGAAATAGTTACAATTACTTCAATAATAAAAATAATTAATCCATACTAACGGAATTATCGAAAGAATTATCTGTTCTTAGCCATGCCCGTATGACCTTTCGAACTATAATAGTTAAAGAAAGTAAACTTGATTATAAACTTGTCTGGTCCATACGCAGAAAACATGTAATAAAAACCACATACTACCATAGGATGATTGATAGATGCAAAAATCACTCTTAGTGGGATCATTATATTGTTTAAAAATGATTTTTGTTTTATTTTCTTCCCAAAAATATTTCAATTTAAATTAAATTTGTAAGCAGTGAACTCACTTTTTTTAGTCGGCCTGAGAAGTAGGCAAGTAATATGCTAAATTATATATATATATATATATATATATATATATATATATATATATATATATATATATATATATATATATATATATATATATTTTTTTTTTTTTTGTTTTTTTTTTTGAATGCACTACCTTGAATACCACACTTATAATTGAATTCTATATATATATATATATATATATATATTTATTTTTTTTTTGTTTTTTTTTTGAATGCACTACCTTGAATACCACACTTATAATTGAATTCTATCATGCACCATGCTGCCGTGGCCCATCCCCCTTGACATCTTGGTAAAATTTAATAATTTAATAATAAACGAGCATGCTTCGTTCATGACAGAATAGTCTGTTTATTTTTAGGCATTATATACATATGTATGTATGTATGTTCCTAAGCTCCAGCAGTTTCGAATTCACTTGTTTGACTTGAACTTTTCTGAATCCACATAAGTTTTTGTATGTGTTGTGAACAAAAGTGAAACGAGTTTATCGTCTTTATTATTTTTTCCTGCCACAAAAATGTATTTCCATAACAAAAGCGTGCTGTTTCTATGCGTCAGTGTGGAGATTTGAAGATTTGTGACTGACCACATGATTCTTTTGGCTAATAATTGCAGTTCTTATATAATAAAAATGGTCTGAGCATAAGTCGATTATAAGAACTCATACATTTATTTTTATTCTTTTCTTTGGCTAGTCCAACCTACATCAAGTTATGTCTTGAATTAACAGTTTAAGCAAATATTCAATTAAGTGAAATTAGCAACAAACTACTAAAACAACTACTTGCGTGTGTACATAGCGTACAAATTTTAATTTTAGTTCGTAAAAAATCGTTTTAGTCATGAGAGCTACCCACTCGTATGTATGTACATATGTATGTGCTTGGGCGCCTAACAAAAAACTCGGGTAAATGCACTGCGTCTGGCGTGGAGTTCAGCAACTCGCCACAATATTAAACTCATTGAGTAAGCAAAAATAAAAAAATGTATACCAAGTCAAATGGATTATTTCATTGCTGCTTCAACTAGTCGTTGCCGTTACAAATTTGTTAACTTTCGGGAGAAATTTTGTCAGCACCTGCTCCAACTGATAGAAATGGAATAAATTCAACACTTGTTAAATACTTGACTCATAAGATGGGTCAACCTTTTTCGACCCAACATGGAATACACTCTTGAAAGCATGCAGCTTATGAGATGCAGGAAGAATTATGCTATTCCAAAACCAACATTAAGCTGTTACTTTAAATATAACATAGTATAATATCCACATCATAAATTGACACATTTTTATGTATGAAAGGTATTCTATTTAAAATTAATACAAATGTCAGAAAATATATATTTTTTTAAGTATTTCCTTTATTTATTTCTGTCCAGGTTGGACAATTATTAAATTGTATGATAGCTTTGAAATTTCAACCATTATATCTATATCTACTTGTATATATTGAATCGACTTGTCACCTTAGAATGTTGTCATACCTGATGTTGCAACATTTTTTGTAACATTGTATCTAACTAAATATCTAAGGCGCAGCGAATGTATATTTTCATCTGGATCGATTCTAGAGAGCATATCTTTATATGACGATATCAGTAGATTTGTATACCCTGTATCCGTAGGGTAAAAAGGGTATATTAGGTTTGTGCAAAGTATGTAACATGCAGAAGGAAGCATCTCCGACCCCATAAAGTATATAGATTCTGAATCAGCATGTCGAGAGAAACCGATCTAGACATGTCCATCCGACTGTCCGTCCGTCTGGATGAACGCAAGGATCTCAGAAACTATAAAAGCTGGAACAACCAAAGTTGGTATCCAGATTCTCCTAGGTCCGAGAAAGGACGAGTTTATTTTATTTTTTGGAATTTCCCCGCTACAGAATTTCGTCAATAGCGTCCACATTTCAAATGCTACATAAACCAAAACAAATTCTCGCCAGTACAACCCCCCCAAACTGCAGCTACAAGTTCGCTCTTCTTCTTCCTCTTTTTGCTGCAGCTATGGGCGCATATAACTCAGTGATGGAAGTTTACCTGGGTACAGGGTATTACACTGCCGGGCTTGCTCGACTGTAGCGTTCTCTCTTGTTTTAATAAAATATGTTTAATCAAATGCAAGGCATACAAAACATGTTTGTTGTTGGGAGTTTTCGTAATTTTGATACTATGTGCCTTTTAAATTAACACTTCCCCGAAGCGTGACGCATGAAATCAAATTTTGAAACACGAATACGATGTGCTTTTCGTATAACAATACCGCTGTCGCCGTCCATCCTTAGTTTCATTGGAGCATTTGAATAAGTGTGTATAAGTATGGTATGTGTGTGCTTTACGCAAATATGGTTTGATTATTATTGGGGCCAAGTCAGTGAATCAACTTTATTTACAAATGTTTTGCGAGGATCTTGGCAATATGCACAAATTAATTGCAGTCAAACAACTGTCTGTAAAAGGTTGCAATTATACTTTTTAATAACGATTTCTAGTAAATTAAAATAAGAACCAACGAAATTGTGAAATCTATCGATGGATGTTTAGGTTTGGTTCTGAGGTATGGAAAATTATATTTAATTGAATTTAAAAATGTCCTTTCTGAACATTTCTTTAAAACTTGAAATTAAGCAAGACATTTCGCTTACCTGTTCCTATGAGAAAACAGCATAATCCAAACAGCCAATAAAATCGTAATCCACGCGTTGAAGCATCCATTTTAGTTGATATAGTACGCCGCATTGTAACTGTAACTGTAATGTGTATTGCTGTTGTTATACTTAATTAGAGTAGAAATTGCAATTGCTGTGCAATCTAGATTGTCAAATTTCAAATAGTAAAAACTAAGCACAAGCCGAATAAGGCACAACACTCTGTGCAAGCTGTGAAAAACTGGGCCACAAAGGAAACAAACAAAAATGGTGCAATTTTAAATTTGTTGCTATCTTCTATCTTTTCCAGCTTTTGCATTAAATTTTTCTTAAATCTTTATGGCCTTTGCTTAGCGATTGCACTTTATTGTTATTATGTTTGGGTATTCGTATGCTACTTCTATTTTCAGCACAAGTCAGGCTTACACACTCACAGGTCACAAAATGTTGTTGTTTAAATTTTATCCATTTATTATCTTTTATACTTTTTTCAGAGTTGTCTTTTGAACATATTGTCCATATTGTGCAAATGTGTTTTCATTATCCACTAGTGTCACTAACTCGCTTGTCGTTGCAACGAAAAAGTCTCAGCTGAAAATTGTAACGAACACGCCAAGTGGTGGCAGCTTAAAAAACTCCATACCGTCCGTCGCCCGATACACAGAGTTTCTTCACGAATTTCGCGCGTAATACTAAAACTGTAAAAGATAGTGAGTATGTGTGATTAAAGTTGTGTTGAAGAAGAAAACGCGAAGCAAAATAAAACTAAACTTGCGCGATTTTTGTTTTAGTTGATGTTTTGTTTCTCCGTGTTGTATTTATTTAGCAAAAACTTTCTTTTCGCCTCGAAGTGACTTTGTCTACATTTAAACACACAAACACATACAAATACATATTGGCACATACACGTCGTTTACACTGCAAAAAGCAGTTACTTCTGATTTTCTATGCACAAGCTAGTGGCAGTTACAATTTGGAATGATTAGAAAACTAAAATCAATTTTTTTTATAATTTTAAAAGTATTTCGCATTACTCTTCGTATAATTCGTTTGCAATCGAAAATTTGAATGAGCTGTGATTGTGCCAGCAATTTCAGATTCCCATGAGTGCTCAAGCGCTCCTCACGTCCAATTCGAAGCAACTATACAACGCGACTGTGCCGTGCCGTTCGACTGAAGACAACAAACTCCTCCGTTAGCAGCAAGTCAGTCAGCTGGGCTCAACACTCAGCTGCAAGTTTTGTGGGTAAGCTTGGTTCGATGCTCTGGCTATGCATAGCACACTATACACGCGCATACATACATACATACATGGCTATGACAATGGTGACTGTTAGTTAACAGTGCCTAACTGTTAAGTGTTGCGCGATGTTAAGCATTCTGGCGGCAACTCTTAAGCTTTTGAAAGTAAGAGCAAGCTAGTTTTACTGACAACGACAACGACAACAATTTTGAGATTGGAATAAGTATATGTATGTACAAAAGTACTTGTATATACATACATAAGTACATAAGCATGTATGCACACCATGTGTTTTCTGCCGCTTGTTGTTTGACTAACTTTTTGCACTATATGCATACAGTTGAACTGTACAATTGGTACAATAGGGTTATATGTAAGTGCGCGTGGTTAAAATCACTTAACATATGTACATAAGTAGCTCAAAAAGTATTTAAGTACATACATATGTATGTACATATGTGTATACATATATGTATGTTAATACAATCGTTTCTAAGTACAATACTATTATGTCTAAAAGCTACATACATATGTATGTATGCATGTATGTATGTGTGGTCCACTCTTTCTATTTAGATGCTTATGGCGTGAAAAGAGCCCACTGTGCAAAAGCACATTTTGGTTGGTTGCATGCTGCTGCTGCAAGGTGGGTTACTTGGGTGGTTTTCTTTATATGCAACCAAACCCAGCCAGCCAGCCCGCCGTGCAGCTCCTTCGTACATACATACCTGCCTAGACAACCACCTGTCATGCTCTTGCTATTTTGTACGGCGGTTGTGAAATATTGTTACAGTTCAGACATTTTGCTTTTCAGGTTTTCCATTTTTTTAAATCTTTTATTCAGGTTTGCTTGATTGCTACCAATGTAAAGCAATTGAAATTTTTAGATGGCTTTGTCCCACTCTAATCACTTGTGGTATGAGTGTAGAAAATTGCAAACTTATGCTTGTGTATGCAACATCATATATTAAGATCTACCAGGTAAAAGTATTTACATACAAAATTTTGTTTCAAACATATAAAGAATTAGTAATAAATAAAAAACTAAATTATTTCCACTACTCTGGTACTTCCAATAAAAAAATGACCAACTTCATGTCCTAATTCTACTGTACCGAACACCGAATGGTGTCATATATACATAAGTGTTGCATAACTTAACGCTTTGTTTATTTCGAGCAATTTCTGAGCCACAAAAATCGAAAGTACAATCATTGGCGGGCAACGGCCAAGAACTGGGCCGACGCAGCCAAGCAAAGCTAAAGTCAAAGCTAAAAAACCAAGAAGCCAACTGTTCGGTGCAACTACCACGAGTGACTGGCTCTGGCTACCTGACTGGCTTACTTCACAAACCAAACTGAAAAATTGGTGTACGGGAAAACAAAAATGGTATATTGTATACAAAACGTATACATATTAGTTACTGAAATCTGTTTCACACGGTATTTTACAACACGATGTTGGTTTTGTTATTTGAATTGGGAGTTGCGGTAATTGTTGGCTCGTTACCTACTCGCATTTGCGTACCGCCCATTAAATAGTTACAACTCTATTTGGACTCACCTGAACTCATATAAAACTTGCTCTTCTAATTTCGCACCCTTTCAAGGCTGACTTTTCCACGAGTTGATCAGTAATGGATTGACTATGAGAATCATCATCTTTTCTTTAAGCGCGTTTGTTTGTTTTCCTTCTCTTTATACTCTGTATGTGTATTCTATACATCTATATATATAAAACAGTTTGTCCTGACTGACTGACTGACTGACTGATTGGCAATCAACGCACAGCCCAAACGGTAAGAGCTAGGAAGCTGAAATTTGGACACAAGATCCCTCTTATAGTGAAAGTGAGCACTAAGAAGGGGTTTCGGAAAATTCGAGCTCCAAAGGGGGGAAAACGAGCTCCAACGTTTGTATGAAAAATCTACAATTTTTATCCGATTAACTTCAAACTTAGTTTGTATACTCTCACAAAGAATACAAAAAAAACTGTATACTTGGATTTTCAATATTTTTCCTGCGGCCTGAATAATAATGATTTTCCGGTGGAAAATTCGGTAAACGAAAAGCTATGTGCAATCAACGCACAGCCCAAACGGTTAGAGCTAGGAGGCTGAAAATTGGACACATGTTGTCTTCAGTGGTGTAGGTGAGCACTAAGAAGCGGTTTTGGAAAATTCGAACGCCAAAGGGGGGAAAACGGGCTCCAACGTTTGTATGAAAAATCTACAATTTTCATCCAATTAACTTCAAACTTAGTTTGTATACTCTCAAAAAGAATACAAGAAAAACTGTATACTTGGTTTTTCACCATTTTTCCTGGGGCATGAAAAAGGGGGGGTTTTCCGTGGAAAAATTGAAACACAATCAACACCCCACAGCCCAAACGGTAAAAGCTAGGAAACTGAAAACTGGGCTCAAGTATCCTATCATGGTGTAGATGCGCACTAAGAAGGGATTTTGGAAAATTCGAGCTCCAAAGGGGGGAAAAGTAGCTCCAAAGTTTGTTTGAAAATTCTGCATTTCTGAATCGATCAACTTTAAATTTGGTTTTTATAATCTATAAAAGAATACAAACAAAATACTCGGTTATTCGAAATTTGTGTTGGAGCTTGAATTATTGGGGTTTTAATATTTATTCATTTTTTCAAATGAAAAGTTTGTGTTATAAATTTTGTCCGATCGATTTCAAATTTGGGTAATATAATCTACGTAACTAAAATTACAACTTTGCATTTAACGATTTTTAAAATATGCATTTTACAAATGCAGGCAGAACAAACAATACAAAATATCAAACAGTTGGGGACAACTAAGTATACATACACACACACATACATATATACAAGCAGCTGTTCGTGTAGTTGCGTGCAAACGGTTGAAGTAGCCAAAGCAAAATGTGAGACACTAATGTGTGAATGTTCATTTGTACAAATGTATGTACATATATACATACATACATATGTATAAAAGTACATTCGTCTTGCACTGACAGGGCAAGAAATGTTAATTAATTAAAAATTATTAACATTATAACATAAACATTTTTATGTTATTTTTTCTTTGTTTAGTACATTTGGCATAAGGGGTTTTTAGGACAACGGACTACAAGGGCGTACGAAGGTTGGGCAGGGGGACATTGCTCCCCTTAGAAAGAATTTCGCATTATGAATTACACCAGCACCATATGTATTACATACGTACATACATATGTATATACATACGTCTGTATGTATAGTATGTACATATGTACATCAATAAGTATGTATGTACGTACATACATTCTTATATACATATATACATAGGTGTGTATGTATGCAGTGGGCCATCGAACACTGTTGTTTAATTGTAATAAATAGTGTTCTATGTTTTCAAATCAAAATTTTTAAAACAACAACAACAAGTTATTGGCTCGCAAAACTTCTTTCGTTTTGATAATTTACGGCTGTTAATTGCATACGAAAAATGCCAAAAGTTTACAGTTACCGTACACACACAAATACATTTGTATGTATTTATGTACATATGTGTACAGTGAACAATCGAATACAGTATTATAATCAATAACTCTCAAACGATGTTTTTCGATGTATTTGTATTCGACATGTATTACGATATATCAACACAAGTATCGATATTTTCGATATATCGCATTTAATTTTAGTATTGGGGTTTTAATATTTATTCACTTTTTCAAATGAATAGTTTGTGTTATAAATTTTGTCCGATCGATTTCAAATTTGGGTAATGTAATCAACATTATATCAACAAATTGGCATTCAACGATTAAAATATAGCAATATGTTTTTTACTTGCCATATATCAAATATCAAATAGTTGGGGACATCACACACACTCACACATGCATACAACAAGCAACAGTTCGTGTCTATGTGTGCCCATGCATACATACATATGTACATGCATATGTATGTATGCCTGTATATGTATGTAGCATGTACATACAAAACAACAACAACAACTGCAAGTCATTGGCTCGCTCTTCTTCTTTCGTTGTGACCATTTAATGTTAATTGCAAAGGCAAAACGCCAAAAGTTTACAGTTACCGTCGCTAGGCAACGACAGCGTAAGCGATAGTAAAGCAGAAACCGAATATCGGAGCTACGCATATTCTGCTTCGCATTGCGGGCAGATGTATGTATGTATATGATTTGTTCTTATTGATGTCAATAAATAATTAGATATTGTTATTTAAATATTCTGCTTATTGCATTCAAACTTCGATATTTTGATGGTATCGGTGGCTTCAACTATCGAAAGTTTTACTCTAGCAAATTGAGATGAGAATTGTCAGTGCTTTTTGATCGTGGCTCATCGCTGCACGGCATTGACACGAGTGCCGTGTTTCATATTCCGAGTTTGTGCGTGACCGTATTGACTCAATATGACACGAAAAGGCTCAAATGTGAATTTAAAATTAGGATATACCCTTATAATTATTCCCCCTTTTTTGCAAATCGTCTATCTTAAAACGTTGCGTTATCTCTCGTTATAAAACAGTTTGTCCTGACTAATTGGTGATCAACGCACAGCCCAAACGGTAAAAGATGAAATTTGGACTCAAGTATCTTTTCATAGTATCCATCATAGCGTAGGAGCACACTAAGAAAAGCTTTTGGAAAATTCTAGCTCCAACGGAGGGAAAACGAGCTTTAAAAAATATTAGTTATAGTGGTCATGTTCGTTGAACGAAATAGTTTGGCAAGAACAAAAATGTAACGGACTACTGAACAATTTTTTGTCAAGAACAGAAAATGTTCATTTAAATACCTTAAATGCCTTCCTACTGGTAACTTATAAGGTGAAAACATATGGGTAGGTTATGCACACACAAAATAAATACAATTGGAAACATTATATTGAGTCGGGTTAAGAC